TTGATTAATCTCTGCAATGATGAAGAATGCTTCCATTTCCTTCAATAAAATTGTTTTAAGATATTATTAATATAGTTAAAAAAAAACACAAATTATTTCAAAATAAGTATAAACATTGTTCTCCTTTTATATAAATGAGTTCGAGATGTAACTTTAGAAACTCGTATATTTTAGAATTCGCAAATGTTGTTAACAAGGCACGATTTGAAGTTACGCAACTCCAAATATTATTCATCTAAATAAAAGCTAAGTAACCGAAACTTTTTCCTCGCATACAAAATCCCCCGTTTCCGTATATTTACGTTTTTCGATTGTTATTTCTACGCGAAAACTTCGTTTTATTTCTTCGCCGTCTTCCCATCTGCTTTGCACTGATTCCCGGAAAATGCGTGGAAAACCCGACGATCCTTTGCACGCGTTTTGTTACCTCGAATCAAATGAAAAACAAAACAGGAAGTGGCATGAAAGAGCTTTCAATCTTGAGAGGGAGGCCGTGCGCGATACGAGCTTACGTATAAAACTAACAGTCGTGTTCACGTAATGCAATTTAATACGACGTCCAATTAATACTACATTTGAATACATGTATCTCTCTATATATACGTGTATGGAAACTTTAGAAAGAGCGAGCATAGAAAATAGAGTTGGAATCAATCAATCTTGCTAATAGCTTTCTGATGATGCCCAATTTTTGCTCCCGCTTTGATCTCCTCGTTTCGAAGCTCAGGAAGAAGTTGATTGCCGGTGGCTGATAAATGGTGTTTGTGTCCCGAAGACTCCGGGAATAATATTTTATATTGATTGTAAAGGACCTAATTCGTTTTCCTAGGACTCGTTCCAAGGAAGCCCCGAACAACACCCCATAAATATTTGTGAACCAAAATGAAAAGCTATTGCTTACTATGTGTGTGTGTTTGTGTGTTAGTGTATTGTGTATAGCCCCGTACCACCTACATCACATCCTCCCCCATTACACGTACACACACACTCGCATACCCATAGAACTTACGAGCCTTCGCCCAATTTAAATGGAAATGGATTGTTTAAAACTCATTTCACCGGTCTCATTCCAAAACTACATTAACATAATCACAAATAACGTTGCCAGGCCGCAAGGAAAAATTGCCCTGCCTACAACACAGAAAAAAAGTTCCTTATCTTTACTCCTTCGTTTTCTTTTTATTGCGCCTCAAGATATATTTAATTTTGCTACCCTTATCCGTGTTATTTAAATAGAATATGCTTCATGAGGTACTCAATATTTTGAATAAAATAAATTATATATTGAAATATAATCATTTTTGTTAATTGTAACAAAACTAACTTCTGCTCAATTTACTCTTTATAAGATTCGTTCTTGAAAATCATTGTTCACCATATGTAGAACCGAAAAGAGAAAGAACAGCAGAAACTTGTTTTTTCAACTGATCACATGAGTCTGAAATACTATTTTTGGTGTTAAAAATCATCATGTATTTCTTCTCCAGGTCTTTCAAATTTAGATCTCGTTTTGCTGTTTTTTTTGATATTATCTCTGCCAAATCAGGTGTCGTATAATGCGCAATCTTTAAGGCTGAAATCACTGAAAATTTCAGGCTAGCATTATTCAATTTGAAAGTGAAAATAAAGAATTGAAACTTATACGAAACTTGCCAAGTTTAATTAGTTCTTTGGATTAAAACAAACTTTGTACGTACTTACATCGGGTAAGGATATTGTTCCAAATTTAAGTTACTTCGCGAATATCGTGTAAATGGTTTAAAACAAACATAATCAGTAAACATTTTAATTAGAATTTTTAATTATTTTAGCAAAATTCTCACAACTAACTAACACTGTTTGTGCAACAGTTTAATTGAAATTGAACTGTATAGGTATAAGATTTTATAGTTCAGCAAAAAATGTGTAAAAAAGAAATAAGATGATTCATTTATCAAAGTACACTTAGTAATTATTATTCGACATGTACAGAAAGCTAGAGGATTCAATCTACGATTCGTATTGTTATTTGGTTTAGAATCAAATAAACTATGTATTTGTTTAATCAACAGGATATGCAACGACAGATTATGGAAACAGATTGAATATAAATGGTGATCGCTTTATTGATAATCGTCGGCGTGCACCGGAAGTTCATTTAATTATCGCCCGCGGGTGATAAATCTCATCTGATGAGTATTATATACGAGTTGTTAATGTGGAATAGGGTTGTTGGCACACCCGATGGGCTGCGTTCTTCCGGGAACCGCGGTCTATGCAAATTGAAACATATTTAGAACTCATATTTAAAACTCCCGCCTGCATAAATCTTAATATCGGAGATTAGCTGTCGGGTGTTGGGGAACGCGGGAGGGTTTGAAGGGGATAGACTGCAGGGGGTGAACGGGCAGTGAACGGCTATTCTATATAGGGCGTGGGCGTTCACGCATGAAATATTGAATTTATTGCGGAAATTTCCCTTCTACCCAATTTTCTTATTACATCGATTTTATCAGTCGCGGACAGAGACATAGTAGCTTTGTATATGGTTTCGTAATAATATAGAAGACATAAATGCTTGAACATGAAAGTATTTTCTATAACCTACGTACAAGATTGTTCTTAATATTTTGTAGTTCCGCCACTGATGCAATTTGAAATACAGTCATCAATTTATACAATTGAAGACATTGTGCAGCAAACTATTTTTTTTATAATAATTTATTTATATATTCAGCTTTTTATTCTGTCCGATATTCGAACTTCAAAAATTTGACTTGCAAATTTTCTAAATAATATTTTTCACGAAAAAAATTAAATCAATTTCACAAACGATTTGATTTTTTGCATTGATTTTTATATATATTGAAATTTGACTAAAACCAATGTCAAATACAAAATAAAACTCGATTATTGATTGTATAAAATTTAGATATTCAAGGGATAATGAACTATGAAGTTGTTTTTGAAAATTCCCGCCAAACTTTAGGGTTTCGCTAATGTTTGGCTTGTGGGCGAGTATGCAAATATTAGAACGGAAGAGCCTTCTGCGAGGGTAGAAAAAAAAAGAGAAGGAAAATAAATTTTATTCCTCTTTCGCCCTCCATAAACTCATTTAGTTCGTGTCTTCGGTAAAACTTCTTCGCGGCATTAACATTTTCCACCCCTAATTTTTGGGGTTTCCGAACTTCCCGCAGCTCCACCTCAATTAAGTCAAATAATTTATATACTTATAAACTGAATACGAGGCAATTATATACTCGTAACATTTTTAAATTGATGAAAATTTTGGTTGAATAACGCAACATAATTATATTTTAATAAATTTATTTACTTAATTTTATAATTGAAAACAAAAAAAAAGCCGTTGCTTAAAAATGAATATGCATACATTTGAGAATGTCATAAACGTATGCACATTTCTGCTTTAATTTCACGAGATTCTATATGAAAATTTGCGACATTTGTGAGTTGAAAATTAATTTAAATTTCCATTGCTCTAAAAGCAGACTGTAGACTTTGATGACAAAAAAAATATAAAAGATATGTAGTTTTATTTTTTGATTATATTCAAGTTTTATTTTTTATTATTATGAAATTCGTGAAAGAAAAAATAACGTTCGTGTTATTTAGTATTTCTCATTTCTTAAGTGCTTCAGTTTCATAATGAAGAATAAGATGGGGTCTAAAAATATTGTCAGCTCCGCTGTGTTTGGGTAGTGTCTCTTCTGTATCCTCGCTTAAAATGTGTCTCTACCGCTAAAACGTAATGAGAATGCCAGTCGAGTGTAAATGTTACGTAAAAATTAAATTTTTATTAAAAAAAATTAATCGATTATTTACAAATCCATGCCATGAAGAAATAAAACTTAATACAAATATAAAGCTAGAGGGTGGAAAATCAAAGTTAATACACTTTGAAATCCAAATATATTCCTTTTAGTATATAAAAATTTAAAGGAGGAGAGGTGCCAAGATTATATATTTTTAAAATGAGACGTAGTAACAACAACCACTGTTTAAAAAAAAATAAAAGACGTCTTTTCGAAGATTTGCATCTACAACGTTATGAAAATCTACCTGCAATTAATTTTACCGATTTGAGTTGTGATAGGATAATTTTGTACTCTCGGCTGAAAACCATAATATTTTGTTTCAAATCGATATATTCAACCGCATCAACGCTATTTACTGGATACAAGCGGTAAACATATCATGTTCATTATTTTTTTTTATAAATAGTGATAATACACGTCCTTTAATTAATACGTTTTTGCTGATATTTGTTTATGTAATTTCATCTTATTTTATAAATTACAATCAATACCTGTTCATTTATTTATAACGAATTATTTTGTAATTGATTATTGTCCAACTATGAAATACGATATGAAGCAGAAATTGCAACAATTTAGGTCGATTTTTCTCTTTACTTTTGTAATATTTTCTCAATGTGAAGGTAGCCATTTCGTTGTTCCACTTTGCATTAGAAAATCCTTTGACTCTTTAAAACGGAATGCTTTGATGCGTGTTTTTCGCAAGCGTAGAGCGAAATTACACACAAAAAAAGAAACTTTGCAAAGAGGGAGTAGAGAGGAAATTCCTGAATTTCGAGTGGTCAAACTGAAGGAACAAAAAAAGGAAGGAAATTCGTAGGGAAGCATCGACGAACAAAATCTTCGAATCCGTGTGTGTGTATTTGAAGTGGGCAGAATTACGTTTCGCTGATAAATTGCGCATTGTAGCATGGATCTGGGACTGGAGGACGTGAACCTTAGGGTTAAAAAAAGTATGAGTGAATTTCCAAGGGTTGCATAGTAGTTCTTCGTCGAATCTGCCGCCCTCGTAGGAAAAAAAAGGTATATCTTAATAATCCATTTACTTGCCGGGGTTGATAATTAGCAGGGGGCGGCTTCTGCTTCTGCCGCCTCCGTTCGGGGGTCCAGTAGTTTTCGTGAGGGTTAGCACCCCGCGAGGCCGCAAGCGCGTTTTACGAGCGGCGACGCCAGTCGTCGCGACGCTCTTACCCCGTGAACACACGCGAGTGCTTTCACCCCACACCATTGCATAACTTGAAATCATTTTTTCGCGCTCACGGAAGAACATTTCATCATTGAAATTAGGATTTCTTGCTTGACGTTCATGTCATTATTTGGTAAGAATACATTGATAATAGTTACATTTTATTATTAAGAAGATTAGTTGGTAGTAATATGAAATACGTACACTATATTAGGTGTATAAATAATATTAATTCCAAAATTCTTGAATAAAATATTTTTTACATAACTGGTGATACCCAATGTTAATCATTCACTCAGATATTAACACATTCGAATACAATTTATTTAGCTATACTACCTAAATATTCTCTACAATACAGGATTATACGATTAAAGTAGTTGAATAAATGAGCCCTTTATATAATTTTAAATATTTAGCAGTAATTAATATTATCGGAAAGCTAATAACTTTATTCTAAATGAAATGAAACAAGAGGATTTCATATCATCAAGATTTTTCGAGGAGGCAGTTTCGTATACCCTTTAAGACATTTTTTGAGAAATTAACATTTGACGTAACATTGAAATATATTATATTGTACAGACATTTATTTGTATATTTTCTTTAACGTCGGAAATATGTGATGCATTAGTATTAGTAACAGTACACTTTTGGTGAAACCAGTATGAATCACTTTTACGACCCTCGACACAAGTTCACTATTAGAACTAATTTTAATAGCACGAGCACTTTAGTATTAAACATTCAATTTGCTTGTGCCGCATTGCTGGATAGATCAATAACAATTTTAAGTATTAAAATAAACATTAAAATACTAAAGCCTAATTTCAGAATATTGCAATATATATTGTAACTAGTTTTCGAAGTGATTTTTTATAAAGTAATTATTATATTATAATTGGCAATTTTATACTATGTAAATGAAACATAAATCTAATAATGAAAATATAATACAAGTTAGTATTGTCAACTCTACGTTACTCACGCGGCGTCTGTAAGACGCCAATGGGTACAAATGAACTGGATGCAGAGATTTTACAAAAATTACCAATGGAATCAGACGTAGACAAACAATAAAAAACAAACGAGAATAGTGATGATGAAGATACTTTTTACATTTTTATAAACTCAGACGCCACGCGAGTAACAATGTTACGAAATGTAGAGCGAGTAACAGAGGATTAAATAAATAAATAAATATTTACTAATTTCCAAAATTTCATAAAAATGTTGGTTTATTGTAAATCGCAAACAATGAAACAATAACTTTTTTCTGTCTATTTTTTATTGTATTTCAATTCATTGTTTCAAATATTGATATTGCACCATTTCTGTTATTAGAAATTTAATTTGAAAAATTTAACATACACAACAATATTACATAAAAAAATCAATAATAATTTGTGAAATGCATAAAAAAATTTGACTCAAATCGAACACTTTCCGTTATTAAAATATCAAAATAAGCTTTAAAATTCCAACATGGTAAACATAACAATTCAATGCTTTTATTACAAAAATATGAAAATCAAATAATCATTCATATTATGCAATTCGATGTGTGACACATTTCATTTATACATATATTATCAAATAATATTGTCCGCATTGATTTATAGTCTATATTTTACAAAATAGAATTCCATCTGCACATGCAGAAACATCGTTTAAAAAAAATCTTTTTCTGAAAGGACGCTTTGAAAGCTTTCAATTCTTTTCACGCAATGTATTCCAAGCGAATTATTTTTCTGAATAACAAAGATGTGGAATAATTTCAAACCCCATTTCTACGCTTTTATAAACTGTTTCTCTTGCTCGATCAATTCGTTCTCGTTCACTCACTCGGATTTCTGGGCTCAGGATTGGAGTTTCCCAGTGACTCTCACTCAGCACAAGAGTAGAGTGCAATAAAATATTCAAAATTCGTACGTCTGTTCCAGTATGACAACATAATAGAATTGTATATTATTTAGCATCAATATCAATGCTCACTAATGTATACTGCTGTTAGTAAATTTTTATCAAAAATATCTGTAATTTCTGTATTATTTTTTTGACACAGAAATTGAATGTTATTTTGCAAATGTTTTAATTAAAATTTGATGGACGGAAAATCAATTCGACCATCACCAAAATTAGAGATCTTCAATAATTTGTCAAAAATGATTTACTAAAACTATTGTCTGAAAATATTAAAGCAATCGTTGAAACAATGAAAATTCATGCACATTTTAGTTTCTTGATCCAAAATCAACTTCAATTCCCATTCCGAATGTCTCGAATCCAAAATTAAATAGTTATATATTATTTTTTTCAATTATATTTAAAATTAACTAAGACCAAGGTCTATGCACTTGATTTATTAATGTCGTTATCTTTTTTAGAATTCATTATTTATTTATTTGTTTATACTTAGGATTAGGATTTCTCAGTTTTCCCTAATTCATATTTTATTAATTCTGATTTACTTATTTTTTTGTATTACTATTTTCTGGCCAATAAATTATGTTTTTTTATTATTACGCATATATAATGAATATAGTAAAATGTATAGGTAATATTTATCCTGATAGGAAATGCAATTTTAATAAATTATCCGTTTATTGGAAATTATGAACTTGATTTCTATTTATAGCTCAATAAAATTGTAATATCGGATATATTTTCATCAAGTTGAGTGTATCAAAAACCAAGCCCTCGTACGCTTGTGTTCAAATATGCTTTTTAGTATTATTACTTCTTTTATTAAAACGCTCAACCGAACTAATTGCGTATTAGTGTTTATACATGCATTTCGAAAAAAATGACTTTTCGAATTTAATTTCATATTAAAAGTTATTAAATATGTTATGTTGTTGTTGCAGGTAGATCCAATGCTTGATTGGGATTCGTTTTGTTCTCATCCAGATCAACAAGTCGTTTGAGAAGTGGGATGTGATTTGCATCTGGACATTGCTGGGACAGTTGCAATTTATAGTAGTCGGGTGATGTGTGAGGCGAAACGGGAATCTTCTTCACGTAGGAAACCGGGTTGGCTATCATGAATAAGCTTGCTGGGTTGCCGCTGCTTTTGGCCCTAATAGCAGCTTTAGGGATTTCGGATGCACGCCATTCAAGGAGACGAGGGTTTCTGCCAGGTAAAGCTACTACTGCTAACTAAATATCCCCTAATTGAATCCAGAAATGTGTATATATATATATATACAAAATACAAAATTAACCCAAACAAAACAGAATGTTATTAACCTAAATGATAATAATAACAAGAACCACTCCGAACTTTAGCACATTAAGTATTACAAATAGCTAGGATTAAGTACTAAGCAAATATATATATGCATCAAATAATTAGAGCAAGTCAACATGATCTACCAAACATCTTTGACAACAAACTAGATAACTTAAACCATTATCTTTAATACTTTTTTCCATTAACTTTCTATTACTCACGTGAGAATACAAATCTTCTTTAGCACCTTACGCCATTTTAGAGTAATGCGTTGAAGGATTAACAGCAAAATATTCTTAGCAGAGTCATTCAGACGCCATGCGAGTAGTGGTTTTATATAAAAAAAAAACTAACTAATTAGTAAAAACAAAAATACAAATGGTCAGAAACTCAAAATTTTGCATAAAATGCATGATCGCCACTCAGAATACCGATAGTGTGCTTAATCGACATCTGAATGTGCTTTATACAAACATTTTCCATTTGCCGCAACAAATTATTTATGTATGTGCAATACTTCCTATCAATGTATAATTTGTCTCGGCACAGTAAAGGAAACAGAAAATCAATTCGGCACTAAAATAGTTGAACGAATTCGTATCTGCCTCAGCCAAAGTTATATGCCATAAAACAGAGTCCAACTTACGTAATTTCTTCGTCTTCTTGATTTCGCATGCTTGGCGGGGAATCAACGGTTTTCATTCCAACTTCAGCACTAATCTGTTTCATATGTCTGTGCCAATTTAATTAAATATACTCGTATATTTGGATGCTCATTTTAAAAGCATATAGCATACAATATATTTAAAAACAAAACTAATAAAAAACGTAGATATTTTCAACATTTATACATGCAAATAAAACTACCAATTTTTTTTATCAAGTACTTCGGATGTAACTTAACTACTATTGATAATAATCCTCTAATGTATTACCTATGGGTCAAAATGACCCGTTTATTAAATATTTAAAAAATAGACCAAACGATTGATTTTTACAATAAACACATATGAATTCTTATCATTTAATGACAAACAGGTTGTATCATATTTGCAATCAAAATTCTAAGATTTCAGGGAATCTTTTGGTTACGTATTAGATCATGCATATATAGTTCACACAACGCACGTCTCAATCGTCTTATCTAAGAATACCTAGAATTCTTCTTTCCCAATGGTCATAATTTATATTAAACTCTACTGTTGACACTAGCAATACTTAATATACAATGAAATAAAGCCATTCGCACATTTTTCATCAAGTTCATGCACCTGATTTAGTATGATATATGATTTCAGGTTTTTTTTATCATTATCATTAACAGAATTAGTGTGGGGCATACTGCATATCAGCATTACTGATTATCACCATTTTGGTACATGGGAAACCAAATAATTACACTGTGAAATTCAAATATTGATGATATTTTAAGAACGTATTTTCTACAGACGCTACTGCTCCTACTGAAAAGTGCATTTGAAAATACAGGAGTAGATAGAAAGTCAACACAATTAAATTACAATATAATGCAAATAAAAACAAATATCAGACGGATCACTCTGACCCATGCGTACTACTTACTGTTTAAACATGTTTATTAATATACTAATAACATCAATTCTTCATTTATGCCTATAAAATAATATTAAACTGTTAATTTAAAGCATACATTTATATATTTGATAGGTGCACTGTATGTTTGTGTTTTTTTTCATAATTTTTTTTTTTAGCTTCTATACATATTTCTATCAGCTGTGTATATATATTTCAGCGCGACATCCTCAGGATTAATTTAAATCAGATTGTAATCCGTGCAGAAAGTTGCTGCGCTCCCAGTAAAGGGGTGGACGGATTATAGAAATTCCAGTTTTCCAGTGCCAAAGGCGTATTGCACGAAAACATGCGATTTCATGTGTAATCCGCAAGAATATAATCCATATATACTCTGACAAATTATCTGAGACACTACTTATTTCCTAAAATTAATTAATACTTGATGGGGTAGCTGGAGATACAAATCCATTGTATGCAAATTTTCGGAAAATTAATACAAATATTTAGCGACAATAATAATTAGAAAATATAACGATTATTCAACATGTTTATATGGCAATAGTCTTTTTGTTTTTTTAAATAAAAATGTTTACTTTGTTACGTTACTATTGCAATACTGATATTATTATTATATTTAAATTAAAATTAACTCTTTCAATAACATCCATTTATAGTTGTTTTCACAAGGTATATACGAGTTTGCAAATTGTATGAAGCCATGCTTGAGAACTCAAGTTTCAGGCTTAATTGGTGCAATGGTTCGAATTGCAGTAGAAATCAACACTATTTATATCTCAGGTGAAAATCTAACTAATTAGTGCTATTATTTATCAATGCAAAATCGTTATAATGCATTATTTTTCAATCATTTTGCAAATTGATTTCGCAGATCTGCAATGCGGCAATATTGGAACTATTTTCATCAGGCTGTGATGCCGATTTATAAATAAATTAAAAACCAATTTTGTGTGGGCGTGTGGTTGTCGCTTATTTCCGGTCCTCTGAACTCGATCGTAAATTGCATGCAGTTCCATTCATCAAAGGAAAGACCCGGAAAAGGGACGTCGTCGACGACCTTTTCGTGACTCTTAAGAATATAAATAGAAATTAGGGCTTACACTTATAACATTATTATACGCCTACATGTACGAATTTCTTCAATGTATTTGCGTTTGTGCTATATATAACGCAACTAAGTATAATTCGTTGTTTATATTTAAAAATATCAATGACTTTCTTTTGAAGTAAATGAGATTATAATGAATTTTATTACAAAGAAACGACTTTTACCAAAAACAGTTTTTTTAATTTTCACAAAAAAAGGAGAGATTTTCTAAATAACTTATTCAGGTTCTTGAAGACTTAATTTCATTATTTATAGCATATTTTAAAGCAATGATTTTTCTACTTCGCCTTTTTTTTTATCATAGTATCTATTCTATCTTCTTCTATTGAATAATTTAGATACAATCTTGATAATATTTGTCCAGATAATTTAATGATCTCACTTTTTGAAGCTAGGGGAAGAAATACGATAAACGTCTTTGCCCAAACGTTCTGTGGATTTTGTAAATAAAAGAGAAGTGTTACTAATATCTCTATTGAATTCGTGTGATTACAAAATGTAGTAATTTAGAATTAATTTCAGATTTCAACACAAATTAAAATTATTGCCGTCGATTTTCTGTTAGTCATAAACAATTAAAATTATTCCCGTGTTTTGCCAGAGACGATTTTGTGTCAAAATTTTTATCTTTTCTGGTTTAAAAAACCTGTTTTTGAATTATATCAATTTCTTAAAAACTCTAACTGGAAATTAATCAATTTTTTTTTTATTTACTATTTTATTATAATAAAAAAAAAAGATTTTAGACTTTTAATAAAAATAACGATAGGTTTATTATAGTCACTTTTTTGACCATATATATATATGTCAATTAAGCCTTCGTCTTGACATAAAATAGAATGTCTGGAAAATGATACATTACCTCTAACACATATGAAGACATAAATTGGAAGTAGATATTATTCACATTGTATGTTTAATAAAATTCATCATTTGAATTATGAAATATTATTGCAATTCAATTTGAACGTAATGGAATATTTCATACAACGAATGCGATCAAATATCATTACTTTTTTTTCTGAGTTTAATTAAATTTATGTCAACGGTATTCCATCTATATTTCTTTCACATCTCAGGACTTATTGTTTTCTCGAATTGTATCAAATATCGCATTTACAGTCCATTACAGAAATGTGCCCTCAAAAACAATATGCGGTTGCACAGGGTCGGTCGCTTGTGTTTTTAAACATGTCGTGTATTGTTTTGATGCTGTTTTAAATGCGGCGTTGAAAGAATGTTGGTTTGCAAGGGTTTTTTGATTTACGGCCATCGTGGAGCGCCATTGAAATAGTTGGTTACATCTGTATGCATCTGGTGCGTGAAAAGGGTCGAAACCACGAGACGGAAGGCGAGAGTCCTTTGAGGGCGTCAGTCGACCCACTAACGAGGCACCGCAAAAAAAATATAATACAGGACTGCAGGACAAGCAAAATGAAGAAAACAAAGACCAGCTAGAAAACAAACTTGGCCGACCCAAAAAGCCACATCAAAGCAACAGAAGTGTGCAATTGAAAAGCACCTGCTGCGAATGTAATTAAGAAAATGAGCACGAGTTCAACTACAAATTATAGCACTTTTCGAAAAGCCTCGGCGTATGGTTTTTAATAATAATTTCATGGACGATATGAAAGTTCTAAAATACAAATAATTTCATTTCAATAAGCTAATTACAAAAATTAATGAAATAACAAATTTGTGTAATTAATAATCATTAATAAGTCTATTAAATTAATAAAATGCAATGGTTACTATATTTATTCAACATAACACTGTTCTTCATTTTTAATATATTTAAATTCCAGTTATGTAACTCTATAATTGCAGTTGGAATTATATAATTTCTTGGAAATCGTCAAGAATCAATCAATACTTTTATGACGTTATATGTTAAGATATAAGATATTTAACTATGTTAAGGTTAAGTAAATTTCTGGCTGTTTATAATTATATATCTGATCGAGGTAGATCAATAGTTTTAGGTGGATTCTAGATCATTTCGACTAGAGGGTCGTCAACCTTTTAATACCTATCTCACATTTTCTTATGTTTATTAAGTGCGTAGAAGAATTTGGAAGAATTTTGTAATATTGTTCGCGACATAAAAATATAATAAGTAAATGAAATAAGCTAACTGTAGAATCAATAGGATATATGTATTATGATTGGTTATCCATACTTTCAAGAATATCCAGTATAGGGATATTCTAAAGTTAATAATTCTTTTA